CTTTTCGTTCCTCCAACATCTTCAAACATGAAACCATCGCTTCCCAATCCGACATCACCAACATAAAATAAATACTCCCCTATAATTCTAATAATCAAAATCCTCGCAATCGCCATTAAAATCTCGAAAAATTCGTTTCATCAGAAAATTCTGAATGCATCTTGCAAACAAACTTCTTTATATTGGTTTTGAAAATATTAGTATAATATTAATATTTGAGTCACATATAAATTAATGAACAGAATTCTTCTATTTCAACGTTTCGTGTATTAAATGCGTTGTATACTATTCGACATTGAATACCCAACGTTATAATTTTATTGCGTTCGGACAAATGGCGACCGAAGCTCGCCTCTGGTGTGCAAGGGGTTAATAATTTAAGGATCCTAAGCGAATGGGACCTCACGGCTCGTAATCCCGAGTGACCTGTCGTGGCTCCTCGTGGAACGCGCGTGTTACGTGATCGATCCTCCTCCCCCTCGTCCTCCCCTCTACCCCTTGCGACCCAGCTGTCCCTCCTCACTCGACGAAATCGGAGAGGATCTTCGGAGCGGATCGGTCGGTCGGTAGGTCGGCCGTAGTCGCGTAGCGATACACAAAAAGCGGGGGTCGTCGGACAACGGAGTCAGATAATAAATTCCTGACATGGCAGTATCACGTCATCCCGGGGTTCGTTGAACTCGCGACGTTGCGCACGACAGATCCGCTGACGGGGGAGGAAAGACGTTCAGAGAATTGTGTTTGTAGAGAGACACGAAAAGGGAACTTTTTTTGGAATCTGTTGGAGTAATTTGGAAGGTTTATAGTTCGATCCATGGGAAGGAAAGATGAACAATTTGAACACTGATTTATATTGAAACAATGTTGCTAGATGGAATGTAATGGTATTGGGGGAGGATTTCGTTGAGAAGTTGGACTATTGCAACTGGAAACTAAAAGTCGCACGCTTTCGTCGTTAGACTGTAAACTTCTAAGAGTTTTCTTTTCACTTTGAAGATGAAGTATTGATCGAAGGAAGGTTGAATAGATTAATGCAAAGGAATTTGTATAGTGACATTGATTTTGATCAAGTTGAGTTGTAGCTTTGAAGAAGCAGAGAAGAAGTAGAAGTGACATTTTGTTGTCATAATAATACGAATGGAAGGATTAATTGGTATTTGACCACAGTTACTCGGAATGATTAAAATATCAATGTTCGTGTAGAGACTGGTAGTTCAACAGCGAAGTTAACATTATTTTCGCCCGCGAAAGGGCTTCACGGAACCATCGGATCAAGTCCTGGAAGTGTTTACGACCGCGCAGCGGCGTTATCTGAAAAATCCGCGGGCTGACAAGTAATAGCGCCCTGTTATTTACTAGGAACTCGTATCGAACGGTCGTATTACGCGCGTACAGGCTTTTCTTTATCGCGGGTAGCGTTGCGTTTCGCGCGGTTAATTAGATACCGGACATTCATCCGCGCCTCGACGGCTGTACGAAGTGTCACGTATCCGGCAGGAGGGCAGGAATCCGATGGACTCGCAGAAAACGACCATTACTACCGCAACATTATTTCGGTAGCTACGAAGGATGATTAATCATTTCAGAAATTAGTCATTCATGCTGCTATCATGCTTACTTTTAACTCTTTCGATCGCATTTAGCGATTCGAGACCTTATTTCACCCTTCGAACATGAACATCGTCATTCTAGGGGCATCGAACTTTCATATTTACAATACAGAATTACAACCAAATAATTTAATTATTCAAACAGTTAACAATGAACGTGTGATTTCCTTTCTTTCAATATTCAAGTGTTCCATATTCAAAATTCTTCCTCCAGAGGTTTCGAATGTAGCAGAATCTTATTTAACTCAGCAAGTAACGGTCAACATAAATATAGACTAGAGCAGAAATGTTTCGAAATATATTTGCAACAGTCGCATATGTTTCAAATTTCTTTACAAAACTTCCATTGAATTCTAATTCAATTAGCCAAATCTAAAAGTGTTTAATTGTCATATCATTGAAATATTCCTTGTTTATTATCAATCTTTAATCGTTAGACCAAACGTAGACACAGAAGAAACAGAAATTCTTATCTGTTTCTACTAATTTATTAACTAGAAAGTAGTTGTGTCAAGCAAAGTTGTTGAAGAAATCTTATATCAAGGGGTTAACAAATCCTCAATCCTCGAAAGTCTTACTACGCGTTACTATAGTATTCTTATACTCTTAAAAAACTCCAAAAGATTCAATACCATCAGCAGGTACAACGAGTTCTCTGTGCAAGTCGACCTTCGTCGATCTCCATCGTTTTCGAAACGAGTTTCGGTGTCGTCCGATTCACTTCCCTCTTTGCGAGATACGCTTTGCGGCTTTTCTATTCCCCTTGCAAACCCGCTGGAAAGTTCGCGGTGATCGATTCCGCTGTATACGGGCTCGCGCGAGTGAAGATGTTCCACGGATATCGCCTTAATCGTCGGATCGGGTTGTCTCCCCCGCCCCGGAGCCGGCCCGGCCCCGGTCAGGCTTTCGAACGGCCTTGCAGAAACCGTTTCCCCGTCCCTGATCGGCTCGCAAAACATCCAGCCGCGCGAGGACGGGTTCGCGACGGAACTCGTTGTTGTTCACCGCGATTTCGATCGAACCCGACGCAACCGAAAGGTGACGCGGTCAATCTAATCGCTGACGTTCCTCTTTATCCATCCTCTTTCGCGTGAAACACGTTTCCCTCGGATTTTCTACCAAAAACACGACAAATCGACGTTTTGTCTCTTGAAATCGAATGTAGGGCAGTGATTTCCAGATAGCTTAACTGAAATTGAATTTTCATAACATAACGTATATAAAGTATATGTACATGTAAACAAGCTTTTTGTATATTCTGTTCTTCAAAGCATTAATACGCTACGATTAAAGTTTCTTTAAAAGGAGAATGGTAATATGAAGTTTGGGAAACACTGATGGATAAATCTTGACGAATCAGATGGTTTTCTGCAACAGTAACGAAATAAGAACAATTGGACCTTAATAATGAAAACTGGAAAAGGATGTGTTAATTTTCGTTTTGCAATTGAGAGACAATGATTTTGAGAGAATGGATTTTTATTTTGATCCGATTCGTATTGGTTTGTTCTACTTTATTCTAGGGCTTAACGTTCTTATCGTTTACAGTATTTGCGTTCATTTGGGAGCAATGGTTTATGCATTAGGGTTAATGAAAAATTTAGAGGATTAGATATTTGAATAAATTTTGTTTTTCTCGTGACTTGAAGGAGTAGAGTGAGCTGTTCTGTGTAGATTAAAAACGCAATCTTTCATGTAGGGATTTTTAAATATTTTGCAATATTCTATGAAAATTTATGTTAATAGTGTGTAGCTGGTTTAGAAATTTCGTTTGGAATCGAGCTAGATTCTCTCTGTCGCGGTCTGATTGGGAGCGCAGCGCACATGTCCCTCTTAATTGCCGTCATCAAATAGTTCCGATGAGACGTCATTGTTATTATGAAGGTGACTGTTAGCCGCTGGAACGCGGGTTTGGTATTTTTCTAGGGAAAATGTCCGATAATGCAACGTCAATAAAAATTAAGATCACTGGTTGTCCCTGTTATAATCGCGCAACAAATTGTATGTCTTCAATTGTGACCAATACTCTCTAGAAGCTGCATTTTCCACGATAGAATATAATAGATTGTTAACCTAAAAATAATTATCCATAAGCGAATAATATTCTCATAAAAATTTCTCAATTCACAATAACAATTCTTTTCTTTCCATCGTGTAAAACGCACCAAAGAAACGAAATTATTAAATTATAATGAATTCACCGTTCTTTTTCCTTCCTATGTTACAGAGTGGAAAGCTCAGCGTTGCAGTTGGTGTACCCGCTGGATTCTCGTCCGGTGCAGCTAATTTTCCGAGGGTTGCAGGTGGTCAAGGAGAAACGAGCACTCCTACGGGATGTCTCGGGCGTGGTCAAACCCGGCGAACTTTTGGCCGTCATGGGGCCTTCAGGTACAGTCGCCATTATTCATTAACGCAGAACATTAAATACTAACGCTAGAACTACCAACCATTTAATACGATTAATATAAAATCCTTATGAAAATTGTAACGATAGATTATTTTTCGGTGTCTTCGTATATTTATTATAATATTCTAGTGCAACTATTTATCTTTAAAACCATTTCACTTTTAACATATCAATAATTGCGAAATAAGGTAACAGAAATCCGTCATTTGAAAAATCCATTTCAAAATGTCTACTTCGCGATCATCAAAACCACAAATACAAGAACATTTCTGTCTCCAGCCCCTCGTAGGAAAAATCTCAATGAATTATTCTAAAACAATGATTAATACAATAGTTTCAATATAACAATACTTCTTAATGAAAGTCAATGTTATTCTAGATATTTTGAAAATCATTTCTCGTGGAAATGAAATCAAAATCAGTTAAATCAAGAATAAAATCAAATCAACAAACAAACTTCCTTTGTTCCCTACAAATTATTGACGATAAAATAAATCCTTCGAGAAAATTGTGCGACAAGGGGTTGAACCCTAACGAGCAGTCGCACGGTGTGTCCCCGAGGGCGATATTTATCGCGAGCGATCCTCTGCTCGCTCGTTTAACAAGCCCAGCAACCCCCGCGAGCGCGCGTTGCTGTACAAATCATCGGGCAACGCGCTTTACCCGCGTTCCACGGTTTGTCGTTAATGTCGCGGCCTCTGCCTCTTATATCTTCGCGGCCGGTGCATTGGCAAACGAAACGATTTCCACGTAGAAAACGTGCTATTCCAGCCGCGCGTATCGTCGGCTTGAAACATGGTCGGGCGGTGAATCAGTCTCTAGAAATTCTAGTGATGTTGCTCGGCTGACTTAGACCTTGACTATCATCCCTTTGACGACAATATGATGTCGGCTGCTTCTTCTTTTCGAGGATAGAAGGTAGCAATTGATTATGCAATGATGATGTATTTGTGGAGTTTGATGATGTCGGTTAGACAGGGTTCATTCGAGGTCTTATTTTATTTTCGATGTGCACAGGGATAAGATGCTATAAATAGGTGAATGAATATATTGAAATTTTCCTAGGAAGTTGTCAAATAAAATCTTATCTTAGTGAAATGAAAGTTGATTTTAAATACTTTTGATAAAGGTGTGTTAGAGATCTTTCAAAGAGGGTTTGATTTAATATGTAATTATTTGAATGTTATTAGTTTTGCGGGATTGTATTTAAATAAGTAGAAGATAGGGATAGATTTAAAGTTGGTTATGTGAAATTTATGTGAAGTATGGAGTGTAGTATTAATTAATTAATGATAATATTGTATTATCGTTCTTGAGGTACTTTATTATAGAATGAAATGTTATGTTCCTTTTTTATTCACGGTTTTTTTTTATAATTTTCTGTGAAGGTTGCGGCAAAACCACATTGCTGAACTGCCTGACCGGCCGCGTGGGCGTGGATGGGGGTGAAATCTGGCTGAATCGAGAGAGGCTGACGAAAAGATGGCGCCGAAGGATCTGCTACGTGCAACAGCAAGACGTTTTCTTCCCAGATCTCACATTACGACAGACTCTCGAGGTGAGCGTCTTAAAATTACAAATTTATTCAACGCTATTTAATTACTGTAACAGTATTTTCCGTTTCGTAACGAACGATAGAAAGAGACAAGGGAAAATAATAAAAATAAGAAGGACAAGAGAAATTAGGATAAAAAATAATAAGAGAAATTACTATAAAATCTCAGTATCACTCGTTCTATCTGTAACAACACATTCAAAAAATTCCTCCGGCATCGAAAATAAGGGAAAGAGAGAAGATATTACAATATCCATAAACCGATGTAACAACAATCGAAATGTGTTCTCGTCTATAGAATTCTATGGACCAATAAATTCCTACGATCGTTTCGTCGAATCGAATTTGCATAAGTAATCTGGACGGGCTGTTAATAAAAAAACAATATCCATCCCGAGCGTATAGGATCGTTGTCCGAAAACGCCGATAGATAAGAGGAAGGTCCCGATTCATCGAGTATAGTCGAACCCAAAAAAATAATCGAACGAAATCCGAGTTGATCTCTATATTGCGGAGCCCAATAAAATCTTTTTCTTCCATTTCATCCGTCGAATGGACTCATAAAAATTCGTCGAAAACCTTCCTATCGGAGTAATTAACTTGTTAACCTCTTAAGCCGAGTTAAATCGTCGTACCTGCTCCTTGAGAGCATCCCTAAACGCTTTATTATTCAGTTCGTTCTTTTAGAAATTTCTAAATTCGAATTGTCTTCAAGAATATTCGTATTTGTACAACTCTTGCGGATTAACTTAATTCTCGTTGAATTAAGATTAACCCTTTATCTTATACAAAATCTCCTTTGCAATGAAAATTTCTCATTGAATTTAATAAATATTTATTTTAAAGAGGTGTTGTCTTTTGCTTATGAATATTTAACATTTGTTGAAATTCTCTTCTCTACAAAACGAATAAACAAACAATTGTAACATTTGCAAGTAAAATTAGAAAGATGGCCACAAAGCAAGGGTTAGTCGGATTATTTTAATTTTAGTTTTAACGTGTGCCTGTCCATACAGAAGTTTATAAAGTTACTCAATTAACAGATAAACTACAACGAGAAAACAACACAAAACCAGGAACGTTTAGTAGAAACTAGAATAGACAGTTGCGCTAGTCCTCCAGCAAGTAGAAATAGTCGGGCATGGTCAGACGGCGCTAGACAATATCCACGCACGCTAGAATCAGGATAAAAAGAAATTGAAACATACAACAACTGCTGTACCATTATTACCGTGAAACATACTGTAATCATTATTTTATCTTACAACATAACCCTTTAAAAACAACGTCGAACTGTTCATTTACCAAAGTAACCAACTCCATGGAACAAGAAGATACAAAAAATTAACAAAATTAGATAGAAATTACGAACCAATCGATTTTAAACAAAATCGAAGCTAGTCAAGTTTGCAAAATTTCACGAACACATCGAAATTTGACAAAATTCAACAAATGAAAATAACAGAAAATCGGCCGAAGATATGAATCTTAATGCTTGTAGACTCGTTTACTGCTCCCAAGTAACATAATCATGATCCACGGGGAATAGAATAGAAAGAGGACCGGATCGACTATACGATCTCGCGGATCATTTCTCGTTTTCCGGGAAAATCGACTCCGGCAACCGTGCCAAGTTTATCGGGCGCGATTTACGAGGGTGGCGCCGGGCCGAAAATTAGGAGGACACATCCCCGCGGTCCGGGCGCGCGAAGAATTCGGGCCGGGAGCCAACTTACGCCTCCTCGAAGATTTTAAATCGCGTCGATCGCGAGTGGGATCATCGTCCCGTTCAGCTAAAAATCGAAGATTCGCTGTGCACACGTTTTCTTTTATGGAGAATAGAAACTTCAGAAGTACGCAAACGAGATGATTTTCTATCCTACAAAAGAGAAATCTTAGATCCTCAAATCATGAACATTACTGAATACTCCATAGGCCATTTGAAATCTTATCAATTTTTCTAAAATACTTTTCGAACGTATCTACCTTTAGTGTTTGCATTGCTATATACAAATGAATACTATAAACGATTAAGTTCACCAGAAAATCAAAAAGTAGGTTAGATAAAATATCATTTAAACCCTTATGAACTTCTTTATTGAACTGGCTTCGTTGTTAACACATTGACTGCTATGAGAATTTAGAGCGTTTCGTATAACATTACTTATCGTGTCATAACAAAGGCAATTAGAATTAGTTACTAATGGTTTGGTGTCATAATTTGTAAGTTACATTATTATTTAATTACTCAAGTTACTAAACATTTTAATTCGATATCAGTTTTCTTCTTGTAATCATCTCCAAGTAATTTGAACGCTCCGGTCACTGGTAACCACCGTGATGGTCAACGTGTTAACAGTATCTTTAGAATGAGAAAGAATTGTACATTCATTGTAGACAAAAATGAATCCGACTGTAATTAACCTGAGGGTGAATTACGAATTTGTGTCCCTAGCGAAAGAGTCGATTTTATTGAGAAAAAATAGCGAGGCGCGTGCAATTGTGCACGTAGCTTTAAAGGATCGAAGGGGCCGTGGTCGGCGCACGGACGCGCCATTTTCTCGGCAGCCGGAGTCCGTTACACAAGAGGATCCGTTATGCGGAGAGAGAAAGTGGTGGCCGATGATATTTCGCCGCGCGCGTTGTATAGCGGTCATCTCGCGGCTAGGGGGAAACTGGACTACTCGTAACGAGCAGCGTTCACCGGAACTCGTCAAATTTTTGGCCAGTTTCTCGGAATCCGCGCCTCCGTTCCATAAACGACGGACGCGAGGCGTGTTCAACGGAATTATACAAGGTGTTCCGGGAAAGACTGTGACGAATTCCGTAAAGAGAATAATGTTTACAAGTTTATCGTATTTAAAACGATAAAAATGAACTTCCAGAAGACATTTTACTTTCGTTAATGTGCTTTTTAGAATATCAGAATGCATTGATTTTGCTGTATTAATTTTGGGAACGGAAGATTCCATTTCGAGTCAGATCTGAATTCCATTATCTCGTATTTCCAAATGTTTTTCCTTACATTATTGAGGTATACTATCTATAAATTCGTCGTTTATTATTAGCGTCTTCGAACATAACGATCGAAACATTTATTTATATAGATTTTTAAGCTTTCTATGTATATCTTATTGGATGAAATAGGATATACTATATTATATGGGCATTTAATGATAAAGTGGAACTACATATAATACGAAATTGCAATTACATTTAATACTAAATTAAAACTACATTTAGTACTAAATTGGAACTACATTTAGTACTACATTAGAATTATAATCTATGAGAAGATAAGAAGTTTCCAAAAGTGCTAAGGTTAACATAACCAAGCTCAATGAATAAAGAGCAACGACACGCGAGAATGCTGAAAAATATGGATCACCGAATGAAAGGGGCCCGCGATCGCAGTTGCAATTGGGAGAGCCACACCTTTGTCGTTCGAGCGAGCCACCATCGGCCGCGCGCGATTCCGCACGTAGCGCACGGACTTTCCTCGCGGAACGTGTTCGCGCGCACTCGATAATTCGGAAGGAACGTGAGCTCGGGATCGAAGGAAAACACGGCCTGCCTCGGGCGGCTCTTTAGAATTCCGTCACGAGCTTTGTCTCCGTTCGGCTCACGGGGAAGCACGGCCGTCACTGCAATGCAGTCGAACGGCTGTCATCTCTAGAAAATGTACGAGGTGTCTTGATAAATCGTAAAAAAGAACTACATCTTCGAACCATAATCCCCTAAATCCTAACGTTGGGTGTATTATTCAGTCGAGATAATCCATAAAAATCAGTGCTAGATCACGATAGTGCCTATCAATATCTCATACCCTGCCAACCAAAGAGAAATCATAATTTCAATAAACCCTGCTGACACCAAGATATAAACCTCGATATTACCAAAACCAGAAACTGAAACTCCAGCATAAGAAACTAAAATAATTTCTTCGGAAATTAAACTACGAACCATGTAACCATCACAAACGCTCACTTAACCAGTTAACTGCGTTTGACGAGCATACGCGTCATCTTAAAACTCGAAATAATACTAATCTTTTCAACGACGAATTAGTTATTTTGTCAGACACACATGTAATTCTTCTTTATTTTGCTTTAGTTTTTCATTAGAATATATTATAGATAGGTTTGCATTTGACGAGTACACTTACTTATACTTCACTGCTTGACTTTATTGCGCGCGCAGTAAGAGATTTTTCAAACTAAATTCCACAGTCAACTGGTTAAACCATCGAAAGAGTGGAACCGATGCAAGAATCATTTGTACCAACCAACGCAAAAAGAAATCGTGCTTGGCAAAGGGGTCAAGCCAGCCAAAAGCAGATCCGGTCCTGGGAAAAAGGGTGTAATCGTGCGAGTCGGCGTTCACCAGGCTCGCCGCGTTATCGTAATTGATTTAACGATCGCGATTACGAGCGGCGGCCGGTGCATCCCCGGGGATACGTGTCAGATGGTAATAATAGACGCAAAGTGGGCTTCGGATGTTACGAAACGGAAATGCGCGCCGAGCGCCGCCGGCCTTTGCTTACGTTACTGTTTAATGCGTAAACGGGGCCGGGCCGGTTTAATGGCGGCCCGGTGCCCCGAAACGATGGCGTTCCGCGGGCCGGGCGCCATGTTGTTTCACCCCTGATCCAACGGTTACCCCCCTCCCTCTCTCTCTCTCTCTCTCTTTTTCTTTTACTGTCCATCTCATCGTTGTTTTCGTTTCACGTTGATTTCAGTACCAGGCGAGGCTCAGGCTTCCGGACACGTTCTCGCACTCCCAGAAGATGCAGTGCGTGGACCATATCATCGAGGTCCTCGACCTCGTCGGCTGCCAAGACACCAGTGAGTATGGAAATCCAGTATAGACGTATTATGAACGATCGATGGCACTTTGTGTGCTCCCATTTTTCTTAGTAATGCGACTTTACGATGTTCAGATGGAAACATTGGAGGCAGACGTTCTTTTTTCCGGTTTACTTTAGGAAGACACTTTGGGGTTGGCTGGATTCTTTCTGTTTAACTGTTTTTCGTTTGATTTGTGTGCTAAGGGTAGATCGAAATTATTTTTGTATTCGATGTTCTTTTTGTTAATATTTTATATACATTAATTTTGTGGGATTTATGTTAACATTTCATTGATTTCGGATTTGTTTGGAAAAAGGAGGTATTCAGTGGTAGTATTTCTTGTAGACTTTTATTGAAATGAATTCTAAACGAGAGTGTCGAAGTTATGGTATAGAAGAAATTCCTTTTTTTTTAAAAGAGTTCTTGGAAATATTATTTATTTCTCTGCGAACCCAACCAAATAACTTCTTTATTCATCACGATTTTCTAATCCCGTTCCATCGAAGATCAAAGAAACAGCGATCGAGACCAGTACACAAAATTGTCCTAGTTTCGTCTCTGCAGTCTACCCGTAAATTCGCCTGTAATTTGTTTATGCACGGGCCCCGTAACAATTTACGACTTCCACTGGTAAGAAACGGTCGTTTCGGCTTTTAGTCGTCGTGCACCGTTGATGCCCGCCTGCCATTCTGATCGGCGATTTCCGCGATCGTAATTTGTTCACCTTTCGCCTGTAAACATGGCTCTGGACAGTATCATCAACTGTCTATTCTATTTTCAATTAAACAAGGAAAATTGTATCGACAACTACGAATTAACCTCTTGCCTTATGATCCTTTTTCAAAAACATTGATTCGACAGAATAAGAAATTACATATTCATTGGTAGAATCAAATCCAAAGGTTGCATGTTTCATTATTACTCCAATTTAATAACTACATTTAATTATCTGATATTATTCTATTAATATTTACTAAGTCCAAGAAACCTTCAATAAGGTAAAAAATTAACACTACCACATTCTTCAGAATTTTTGCAATCAGCAATTTCATTATTCCAGCCCTAAAAATATCGTGTTGTTCACTCTTCTTCGATCTAACAATATTCCCGTATTTTCCAAAATATTTTTTCACTCCATAAATATTTAATAAAACTGTTAGCATTATTTTCAAAATCCTTACAAGCGTATGACAGAATCCTCTCTCAAAAGAGTCACATCGTCGAACGTCCGAAATCACGGAGCGATTAGCTTTAATTAATTACAAATAAGGGATAACGAGGACGTATGCTAGTCTGCTTGCTACCTAGACCGCGGTGATGTTTTGTTTGCAGTTATCGGGGATTACACGAAACGGGGTCTCTCTGGCGGCGAGAAGAAGAGGACAAGCATAGCCTGCGAGCTGCTCACCAATCCGTCGCTGATGTTGCTCGACGTAAGCTCTTTAATTGCAATCACCTTCCGCATCTCAACGTCGCTTCCCTGTCTCTTTCCCCAGGCAGATCCGCTTGTCAACCTCGGCACCGAATTCCCCTGAATTTTAAGTGAACGCGCGAGTGTTCGGTGAAAGCGCAGTGACAACCGAAACGCGGAAAATTCCTTCAGTTCCGAATCAGTTAAAAATATTCCCTTGAATTCCAACCTTTCTCAATCTAAATTAAGTTTTTCCAACTTGCTTGATTCCAGACTGTCCAATTAATATTCGCATTAACCCGAAAACGCTTCGTTTGCGTCAACGTTTTCATGGTAACGATGCTTCAAAACATTCACACGAAGAGAAATGCAAAGAGTTAATTAAATATTCTGCTGAATAACAGAAGTAGATCGGGAATATGAATTGTATTATGTTCGAAATAGTTCGCGCAATTTCGGTGAACGTTACGACTTTGATAAAGGCTACATTATAATCAGGACGCACAGTGTTCCTCCTGTGACAATTGAGTTAAAATCATTTCCTCAGATTAGAACTGAACAATTGAATTCGTAGGAAACATATGAAGACAAACATTTTTTTTACTGAAATTCCCCCGTTAAAGGGTTATCAAAATTTCAATGTTTATAGGAGAAGATAATTAATATTTTCTGATTTTGCCACAACGCATCGGCTCGTAACAATTTTCGCATAAGGACCGCGGGCCGATAGATCGTCCCGCTGGCACTAAAAGGGTTAAATATAAACTAAATATTACTCATCTATTATCAGTTGTTAACCTTTAAAGAAAACGTACACACAACGAATATCGAGTTTTGTCTTTTTTTAATCAATTATTAACGACAAAGTAGTTTTGCCAAGCACAGTTGCTAAAGGAACCATAAGGCATGGGTTTAAAAGGTTAATCTGTATTCCGTTGTCCCCCAGGAGCCGACCAGCGGGCTGGACTCGCATTCAGCACAGGCGTTGATTTCACGACTGAAGAAATACGCGGAGCAGGAGGGCAAGAGCATCGTGGTGACAGTACATCAGCCTAGTTCCAGGATGTTCCACAGCTTCAACAAACTGCTCCTGCTGAGCCGCGGCCAAGTAGCGTACTACGGACCAACCACGAACATTGGCAGGTTTTTCTCGACGATAGGGCTGACGTTGTTGCCACACTACAACCCGGCTGACTTTATACGTAAGCGGTTTTGTAATTGGAATAATTGTCCTTTGGAATTTAATTCGTTGATCGCTGAACCAGTGTTCATTAAAATTTCACAAAATCGAGACTATTCTCACAGTGAGAAAGCAACTAAAATATTAAGAATTTCAATTAGTATCGCGGCGATTCAGTTGTTAAAGTTTTGCAGTATTGTTATTTGGGTCTGCTAAATATTTTACCTGAACAATGACAATCTAAATGATTTGCGGAGAACCAAAAGTGGAACACAATTGATTATTAATTCGAGAGTGTTCAACTTTTTGCTGTGATATGACGAAACACGTAACAGTTACATATTTCAGTAACCTTTTAATCCTATTCTAATCTCAAAAATAATTCACCTGAACATCAAATCGAATTAGAGCGAAACTAAATATAACAACGCAAGTTTGACAGAAACCCCGAGAACCAAGAACTTCAAAGCGCAAGTCGCGACATAAAATTCCCCAAAAATGGGTCACGAGCACGTGACACCGCCCGTTAAAAGCCTATCGCCGTAAATTGTTTTTATCGCGACAGTAAAAAAAACACAGGAATAATTCAATGAAACGACCGAAATGTTTATCGCATTGACGATCCGCGTGACACGAGAAATTACGCGATTCCACGGGAGTCGTCCGCGAAATAGCAATAGCCGTTGACGAGGGCGGGAATGGTTGATTAAAAGAACCTCGCCGGCAAAGTCAAACGTTATTCTTTCTTTATTTTCCATTTTTTTGCGATTTAACCCAGACTGTTGTTTCAGTGGAGCAAATAAAGGGGCCGGAGGAGGTTCGGGAACGGATCGTGGCTGCAGCGAGGAACGCGAGACAGGGACCCGACTGCCCGCCGGAACTTCGCCCGGAATATAATCCCAGCCAGCATCCGCTCTGCGACCATCTCATCCATTATCACGAGCACCACATCAGCCACAATGGTATTAACTTTGCGCATACCTTGTAACCGGTCCGCCGCGCTTCATAATTCACGGTCCCCCCGCGGAAACGAATGTCCGTTGATATTTCTTTTGCATGTTTTTTATCTTCCTTCCTCTCTCTTCTTCTTCTCCTTTTTTAATATCTTTGTTAACGCGACATAACGGAAGAAGTTTGGAAAAAGACGAGATGAAAAGAATGAATGGAAAATGGGAAGAGGTGTTAAGTATTTTTTGGTGAACTTTATGTTTCCTTTTAGGTAGAGATTTTTTGGTATTTTTATCTATGATGGTATAATAAGGTGTTATTGCTTAATACATCTTGTCATAATATTTAAACTAAAGAATTTATAAGTCATGACAGCTGAAATTGAAAACGTTTGATCGCTATCACAAGATATGCAGTCATGTTCGTAAGGATTTTAACCGCATCAACCGCAATCATAAGATTTTCAATCGCGTGAATCACAGTCATAATGTTTATTCATCACGTCAACCGTAATCATAGGGTATTTAATCGCGTTAATCGCAATCCTAAGATTTTCAACGGCACCGGTTACGATCGTAAGATTTTCGTAATTGTAACGTTTTCAATCGCGTTAACCACAGTCGTAAGATTGTTAACTGCGTCAATCGGGACCGTAAGATTTTCAGTCGCGTCAACCGTGATCGTAAGACCTTTAATCGCGTTTATCGCAATCAGAAAATTTTCCTTCGCGCCAACTGCAGTCGTAAGGTTTTCACTAGCGTCAACCGCAATCGTGAGATTTTCAATCGCGTCAACTGCAATCATAGGATTTTTCGTCCGTGTTGATCGCCTCATAAAATAGTTAATTGCGTTAATCGCGGTCGCAGGACTTTTATAGATCGTCGCGTCTATAATTTTCAGTGAAAGAAGACGAGGGTCGCACCCTTTGGTTGGACACGCAAAGCCATACCAGCAGCAGCGCCAGCTCCGCGGACGAAGATTACGCTTGGCAGTGGCCCACCAGCTTCTGGTCACAATTCAAAGTGAGTAAACATCAGTTCACGCATCATTTGTAAACGCCAGATTTTGCAACAGACCGTTGACTCTGTTGTACTAGAAATGTAATAATAGTAAACAGGCAGTTCGTCCGTCAATCAACCAATCAACACGGAAAAAGCGGTAACACCGCTTTTGCGGATCAGTGATTCCGCGTGTAATAATCGAACCACACTTTTCTCTTTCTTAAGGTTACGGCGCGGTAATTGTACGTTAATGCGGATAGATGAATTAATTATAAATATGGAGCGAACGGATGTTAATGAGCGTGAGTCGCCATTACTACGCTCCCCGTCGCGATCTTTCTTATCCGACTTCACGCGTTACACCTATTAGGTACAGAAATTAATTCAGCACCTTTTCATTCGATTCGCTTCCAGTCCGCTTTAGAATTACACATTTTTACTGCCCTTTGGTATTTTCTGTTCTTACCTCGAGGATGATACAAAATCATCAAGGCTGGAAATATTTTATAGATCGAACGTTGTATGATTTATTTGTAAACGGATAGTAATTTTGTTTTAAAAAGGTACTACATTCGTTTCTACGCCAAATCAAGTTAAATGGATAATGATTTATTAATTTTAAAGACTCGAACACTCGTCTGTGAAGAATAAAAAGTTTTCTTTAAGAAAATTTTTTATGCACCCTCTTGCACGGACTTTAGACTCGAGAATGATCTACCACTTCTAACATGACGAATGCTCCAATAATATTTATCGTATAAACACTCGGACCCAGTTTATACAGCGGTAGTAATGTTGTTGGGGTTTCTATCCGCTAGCTGTCTACTCTGAAAGCACTCGATCAATTGGAAAAATAACACGAAGGAAGATGGCCGCGACGTTTCAGAGGGGTCTAAGGTAAAGGTACGCGTTGAAACAGACCGGTCCCGGGTCCGTTATTTCCCGTGAACAGGTGATGTCTGTTCGCACATCGAAAAATAGAATCCACCTCGATAAACCTTCCGATTTCATCGAGTTGCTGCTCGGAAAACACATTTCACTAAACGTTTTCTTAATTGTTGGTCTGAAAAACAGATTAGAACTGGATCTAGAAAACTACACGTAGAGAAGTTTTCATCTATCATCAATCAATATTTTTTATTTCTGCAGGAAATACATGGTATTATGAAATGGTCATTTGATATGTTAATTTCAAGCATCGCTCGCGTAACAGCACAGAAGAAAGAAACTCAATCGTTTCATTTTACATTTGATTTTCAAGAAACTTTTGCTCAATTTTGGTTCGCTGCATTCACAAGTGTGGATCGCTTTGAGATTCAAAGTTCTCTTCTTCGAGAATTTGATCGGAATAGATTAACTTCTACCGCAAGTTGAACCGAACAAAATTCGAAGTGTAATTCCAGTTAGCCGCCATCTTGTCGCCGCGAGAAATGCGCCAGAAACCTAAAACATCAATAATATTACCTAAAATACGAGTTCTTAACCTTCTAACGGGTCATTCACGACGAATATAAATCGATAAGTACGATAAAAATCAATAAAACTGAGAATCTATTGTAAATTCAGATAACTGGAACATTCTCGCGCTGATCCGCCATCTTGTCGGTCGCGAGAAGCGCGCGAAAAAACTTGCAGTCCTATAAGATCGGTTAAAATCATAATTTCGTGCTCTCTAATGGGCTATTCGCCTGGAATATTAATCGTTGAATATACAATAACAATGAAAATCAATGAAAATGAAGGTTTATCATAAATTCATTTGAAAATCTCATGTCTGCCATGTTAAATTTCCGTGGCGTGGCGGCAGTGGCCGCAGTCAAGGAACATTGGAAGCCGGCCGAAGGCGAGATCGAAAAGTTCGATTGCATACGCGATTAATAGAGCATGCAAACGGTAATATGCAAAATTTAGATGAGTGGTCTGGTATGCGAGCAGATAATACCGGGGAAAATGGAAATGACATCAGGATTCAAGTTTAATGCTCGCATTAAATTCGTATTAATGCTCGACGTTTATCTGACACACGGTAATGCATTCCAGATAACTTTCAAGGCGGCGGCAGTCTCGCACCGGCACTCTCGTTCCGTCTGAGGTACTGCGGCTCTGTTTCGTGGCTCTCTTTGTAATAACGTAATTTCCGTACGGCCGCGGACAATCGGCCCTGGTGAGCAATCTCCGACGCGTTTGAAAATTTGATCAAGCAATCTCCTCCTCGCAAGCCCCGCTGTAACGGCTTCTCCGTTAAGTATCAAGTCGAATCAAAAAATCGTAAAGGGAAGTCGAGTTTGCACGTTGAATTATTAACATTAACCGCATCGATCGGTAAAAATTTCCATTACCTTGCCTACATTTGCACTACGCCTTTATTTTATGCTAATTCTGTTATTACAAAATTCAAAACTTCTGTTTCTTTCCTTCAGATGAGATTAAAAGATTAAACTTAGAACACCTATTTTTGTTATTCTTTGAATCCTTTTTATTTCTATAGGAACATAGTACATTCAAGTTAATTTCATACATCTTCCATCTTTAATATAAACACTTTTAAAATTAGAAGTATTTACACTATTTCTTTCTTATTGAATTATTGCATATCGTATCTACACATTGAACCATGGCAACAATCATTTTTCGTATGAATCACAGAAGTGTACGGAAAACAATGAAACGCTTCCCTTGTTGACGGAGTTCAACCGCGATCGTACGAAAAACGGTTCCGTCGTGGAAAGGTGACGCAAGTGGTGTGGCTTATTCGTATTTCCAACGAACGGGCATAAAGGTGTCGCAGTAATTATCCGGATATGGCGAATCGTGTAAATGCGACCTAGTTCTCCTGTTTGCGCGATCGCGGCCCTCCTTCTCGGTGTGTTCGCGCCTGCGATTTTCTTTCTTCGATTTTGGGAGCCCTTCCTCGAGCAATCGACGCCCTGCTAGCCATTCACCTTGCATCATTGGAAACCAAGATGGTGCCAATGGAACACTTCAACGAGAAACGACTCTAAACATACAAATCTGAAATTTCTTCATAAATTCACTAAATATTCATTAGAAATATACATATGTACAATCAATGATTAAAAGTCAATTGATTATACCGAAAGATCAAGAATTCAGGGACCACAAAGGAAATCAAAATGACGACAATGTAAATTCCTGTTAAACCGTTCAAAACTACATTAAATCAATTACAATTACCGCAGTAGAAACGTGAAAGATTTTTGATTAAGAATAGGTTTCTCATAGAAAGATCATTTCTCTATGTGAAGTTCTTAAAAATCCAACGTAGCAATGAATGGAACCAAGTATCGCATGCTCCACTATCCTAAACAAAGTGAAGTTAATTTCAATGAAAATCGTTAAAGCACAACGGGATCTATCTCTTGTAAGACGTTTCTTGATTCTAATCGGAGATCAGTGGTACGGTGTCCCAAAGAAATCAATCAACCATCAATAGGCACGTCCGAGAGGCTCCCAAGCCCACAGATCGATGGATCCATCGGATCGTCGCCGGTAATTGAGTAATTAACGATGTCAAGTTCTTCCTCTCCGTTCTTCGCGGTTAAATGGCGGTGCGTATATAGTTGTAATTTAAAGAGGCCTTCGAAAGCCAGCATTGTGAAACTTTGCGTTCTATTTCCTCACGGCCGCCTGATATAATTGAGCTGCACCAAAGAGGTGTAGCGGACAACCTTGCAATTGTGACATTGTCGCGCGAGCACGGGGGCAGCATTTCTATCATTGTGCGACCGGCGTAATTAACGACACGCGCGAGCACGCGTTATGTGTCGCGGTGGATTCAGCTGCTTCTTAATATAGGCTCGTTTAATGGGATTAACACGTTCACCGTTATGGTGCTCGCTGATGACCGGATCTTCCGAATTGCTTGGAAATTATTCACCCCTTGCACTCGAACATTCTTCCGTTCGACGTGTTTAGCATTTTCCAATGAAACACTGACTGAATAATTGATTGTGCTAAACAAAATACTACAGGACTCGGTGGACAAAACTACATTATTTCAATATTTCAGTTGGATCAAGTTTGATATTAAATATCGTAATTTATAATTTTGCTAGATCGAAATGTGCGACGACTATGAGTTCCTTTGTAAACAGTTAAAACGAGACGATTCGTGTTGGAATGATATGTTTAATAAATGCTATGAATGAGTAATATGTGGTATAATTAAAAAAAATGGGTCAAATTAATTTCTGAATTCTTCTTTTAAAGTTGTCAAAAAGGTAATACATGCCTCTCTGAGAAATTAGTTGAGAAATTGGTTTAGCAGTACGTAAATTGAATCATAAGTCATTCGAAGTCTCAATAACTATACTCTAGAAACATTTGGAAATGTCAATTTGATTGCGCTGTAGTTCTAATAGTAAAATTCTTGTGACAATTAACTTATTAATTAATCGAAGTATCGATATTGTGTATCTCAGCAGCATTTGCTGTGCACCAATTCGTTCTTCTAATCCTAGAATCCATTGCAATTCGAAATATAAACTGATCATCAGTCTCTCCAATAGCAGTCTTCAGTAGATTTTAATAGTAGGTCGATTAATAATCGCGATTACAGTGAGATTATTCGCATATATTCCAGCTAAACAACAGCTCGACTCACGTACAGCTAATATTCCGTTCATCTGCGAATACGAAATCGCGCAGCGTTACGTCAGCGATAAACAGACGCGCAGCGCTGAGTTATAAAAAGTCGCATAATGTTACGTCACCGACAGCGAACGAGTTAATTGACTCTGGGCAGAGTATAATTAAATCTTTGTTTCGAACTTGAACAGAAATTGGATCTCGAACGATTCTGAATGTTGATATATTTCCATTCAAAAATTCAAATCTCTGATGAAACGTTCGCACGTACACTTTTTTAGAATCTACATTTTTATCTTTTCGACAGAGCCGATCACAGTTGCCAATCTTATGTTTAACCCCTGAACCGCGGAATTTTTTCACGCGAGTCAACACTGCAACGCGCAATTAATCTCCGAGATTTTTTGTAATTTAATGCGTTTTAATGGAATTCTTTTTTCCCTTTGAGTTTTTTGCTTTTTTTACAACGTGATTAGTTTTCTAACAGAAAAGGATGTTTATAATAATAAAGGAAATGATAAACAAATACTTAGATAGAAATTCTTGGGGTTAAGCGGTTAAGAATCGAGTGAACATTCGAAAATTCAAGTTTCTAATGAAACCTTCATTTATATTTTTCCTTTCTTTCGAACACGGGAAAATTTGTTTCGATGTTGTTTTCTGTGCAAGAAAATTGTCGAGCATTGTGTCAAGGTTTGTTGCATCGTGATTGCAGGTATTATCAGAACGAAACTTTCAAGAGGCCCGGCCACGGATGCTGTCTCGTTTGAATTGGCTGCAAACGATAGCTCTCGGTCTGCTCGCTGGCCTGCTCTGGCTGAGGCTTCCCAGAACCGAAGCGGCTCTCCACGACATCCAGGGCTGGATGTTCTTCAGCACCACGTACTGGATGCTGTTCGCACACTTCGGTACACTCTCCAGTTGTAAGTTCCCATTTAATCATCACCAAGTTACGATACGATATAGCAATCCTAAACCATCATGAAGATCTAATCTAATATATAGAATATAATCTGAAAAATGCATACCTTTCGTTCATTGTAACAATTTTATTATTTATTTTCCTTTATTTTACAATGAAAATGGTAGCACTAATAGATGGTACATTTATTCTTCCTTCACTACGAAACTGACGGTGCTAATAGCTAATGAAATAGGTGGACTATAAGATTCACAGAATTCCTAAAGGTGTTTGACTTAACTTTGAAACTCCCACGTGTAGCTTAATATGGCTCTTTAATTGCTCATTTAAGAATATTTGGAAATCACTGAAACGGTACCTTTATATGAAACATTCAAATAAAATTGAATGTCGACTGTGACTCGACACAGGGCCACAAAGTTGTACGCTGTCGAAGCATCAGGTTACCATACTCCACAAACATCGTTCACTGAATTGCGAAAAAATGTCACGGAGATTCCCGCAATATCTATAATTAACGATATACGAATTAGAAGCCGGTGGTTAGCTGGCAGAGGTTCTCGTCCATCAGGTGGTGGCGGTGGCGACGCGCGTTGCGCAACAACCGAGAACCAGATGAAAGTAGATTGGTTGATTGAGCCACAAACGGCGTGACGCGCTGAATCGGCCCATTCAGCGATGCCCGTTTTTTTTTATTGCAAAGATTTGCAAAGGACCAAGGAGAGGAACGGTCAATCAAGAATGTTAGTATGTAGGTCGCGCCGTGACCCACTGCGACGACGATCGCGCTCGCGTCCCCAGTAATTGGGGGCCCTTTTGTCGACGACGGCCGTGCAAAACGAGCGTGACGGATTTTCTGACAGGGAATCAGACTGTGAAAACGACTCGGACGCGCCACGATGGATCAGGGACTGCGGGAATCTCGTCGACTTCCAGCGGAATCGCGCGGACTCAGCGATTCGAAGAAATTGGGTTGCAGTCTTTAACCCTTTTGTCTGGGTTCTTTGGACATTTTAATCGGTTTTTTATCTGTTTCCCTTTGCATATTGCGTTATATTGAATATGGGGATAATAGGAGATAATTGTTATTAGGTAGCTATTGTTTAGGGTTGGTAATGTTTTAATTGTAGTAGTTGCTTGCGTGGTTATAAATTGTAACAATGTTAATGTGAAGCAAATGGTTTTAGGTGATAATTCAGTCTATAGATTGGATAATGGTTTAGATAATAGTTTAGGTGATGATCTAGAATTGAGATTCTAATGATGGTTTAGATAATAGTTCGGGCGATGATCTAGATGATAATGCAGGTGGCGGTTTAGAGGATGGTTCAGATGGTACTTTAATGGTAGATTACGTGATAGTTTAAATGACAGAATTTCTAGTATGAAACGAATTCGAAAAGGTTGAGGTTAAAAGAAGTTTCTTTTCCCTTTGAAATGAAGCTATCAAATCCCGCATTAAATTCTACTTAGTCCCGCGTACTTAAGAGAAAACACATATAACGACGTTTATACGCTATAAACGCCTAAAGTTGCGCAGTCTGCTCGTCAAATTCTCAACGCTAGCCGGTGTTACGTTCGGTAAAACTCACTGCGGAACGAAAGATTTCTGGAATTAAAGTCGTAAATCCTAGGGAACGTTTTAACGCGTAGAAAATGGATGTAATAAAAGTTACATTTTATTCCCGTACTCATTCTAATGAAGCAATATCACGCGCGAGACACACCAATGCTACCTACAGTCTACTCTACGACTTCCTCCTTTTCACATAACCAAAGTACTCCTTTCCTTCTACTCTGCCTTCAAAATTGACAAAACTAAATGTCCCACGATCCCTTTAAATTCAAACAAAACATTATCTTCCTGTCATCGCTTGTTATACCTTAAAACACACATAAACAAGCCATTCTCTTCGACTTCTACCAAATTATTAAGGACAAAGTAATAATCCAGTTAATGCAGCTATTAACACTGAATTTACAAAAATCGATCTCCCACTTTATCATATCGTTCCTACAAAACCAGGTTCTCTCGCATAGACCTAGTAAGTTAATCCTTCGAAATCACAGAACCACCAAGCGACATTCTCAAAACGAAATACCCCTCAATTTAATAAGTTCCCTCAGTATCTACTTAACACTGCAACACATTATTAATATTTTATTATCATCATTACCATTATCATTTATATTACCATCGCATTAACATTAATATTTTATTCCTTAAAAAGAAGATAGTCCCCAGAACACGCGAGCACCTTGAAAACTCACAAGGCAAGGAGCCATCGGCTCAGTTTCACCTAAAACTCAACACAAAACCCTTCGAGTTTCCATTCACTTGTCGATAGTCCGTGCGCAGAGTCGAAGGCAACAAAGAAAAAACAAGAGAGATAGAAGAAAAAGAAAAATCAGAAGGGGAAGAGAAAGGCTCTCGGAAGGGAGGACGCTAAAACTCTGTTTTACAACTGGACAAGAACTGGCCGGGTCTATTCGAGCTCTCTGGAGCCTGTTGTACCGTCGCGTCGTGTCTCGTTTTCTACGCGGATAAGTGACGGCCACTGTAAAACGTCGAAGGTAGCGCACACGGGGCGCACGGCTAGTCCGCCTAGTGGCGAACTTCTATGCCTAAGTTATGCGACTCCTAAAATAGTCGGGGTGGGGAACGGCCATTAACTTTTCCTGTTTTATCGTTTACTGCCCTTTGTTCGAGGCGATCTGTCACCTTTATCCGGCCCCGGGGCTCCCCGGCCGTATCTCTGCGTTCGGCTCGTCCGTAACCGCTCGCTCCCACCGCCGATACCGATCTTTATTGCGCCCCCTTACTCTCATTGTTCATATTATTACTTATTTATTGTACCGGATCCCCTTTCCTTCTCGCGAGGGGGATCGTTTTACCCCTTTTTTCCGTGTGTTTTGACTTCCCCCAGTCTTACGAAGATCGATATCTGGGTGACGACTGGGGAGGAATTCGAATATATGTTTGCGTCGAGGCGTGATTGAATTGACGCGAGTTGTGGAATTTGATGGGGATCGTTCGTAGGGGTAGAGTATGGAGTGGCAGGGAAAGGGATCGTGTTGTTTGGAAAACTTTCAATTTGAGTATCGAGTATTATTGCTAGTAATAATAGAGATATTAGTAATACTATATAAGTCGTATTATACTTCGATTGTAGAAGCAATTAATGTTTGTTGCAATTAAAGTATGTTTGATTGAATATAAAACCGGCTTGAGTTTTGTGCAAAAGTTGACGAGCACAAGATACTGTTTGATTCTTCAATTCCCGATGCTATCGCCTTGAAACCGCAGATTTCAGTATCAATAAAATAAAATCGATATAGTAATAACCACCTGTTTCTTCGACAGTTAGAATAGCATGTTTTTCAAAATTATCATTGTCGTTAAAAATGGTAAATTAGTTAACGTATATTGTGAAAATGAATGTATTTTTCTTAAAAGTTTCTATTTGGAACTGAAGGAACATAGAGTCTAGTGCTAAGGCTTAGTAAACCTTAAAGATTAATGCTAGATCTTCGAAATACAATTTTACAAAAGATTAATATCAATGAAAATTCCAGAATAATAATTTCAATTTTCAATAATTTTATTATCAGTAATTGAATCAGAGAAACAGGAACAAAAGTCAAATGAAATTAATCAAATGGAACAAGATAAAGCTAGGCGAAAGGATAGAAATTAAGGGTATCAACGAGGGATGTTATAAAACCTGACCAGGGTTGTGTTTCCATTTTAAAGTGACACGAGCTGACTTCTGGGTTTCAGTTCCTCCTGAACGCGAGGTAATCAACAAGGAGCGGCTGTCGGGATCGTATCGGCTCTCGGCCTATTACCTGGCGAAAATGGTCGGCGAGCTACCTCTTACGATCACCCTGCCCGCGGTCTACCATGTCATTAGTTACCCGATGTTGGGCTTCCACAGTCCGGCAGTTTTCGTCACCCTGCTGGCGTTCCTCTTGCTGAACACCGTTGTCGCGCAGGTAAGTCGCTACCATCGAGAAAAATTCGATATTCGATGTGACAAGGGTGGAAAAATACGTAACATTCAACGGTGAGAATTAAAACGTCTTCATCATTGTTAGGATTTTGATCGCAATATTATATTAACTATTTACGAAAGAAGTGACCAATTTTAATGGGTAGCATATAATTAACAGTATACATCTTTAGGGGTTGAAAAATCTGTAACATCCTGCGACGAGAATTTTGAAATATTTTCTTTCGCTATCAAGATTTTTATCGCAATATTATATTAATCATTTAAAAAGAATGATACTATAAATCAGATGTCCAATTTGAAAGAGTATATATTTAACGTAAAATATATTTAATTGTAATGGATGTCACTGGTTATCATCGATAGACCGCAAATCTTTTCCAAAGTTTACAATTTACGAAGATCCACCAAAGGAGAGTGAAATCCAGTTGTGAATGTAGAAAATAACATTCCAATGTATTCCTGTTCCTTACTAACCGATCCCAATCATTCTTTTGCTGGCAGTGGCAGAAAAAAGACCTTCGCAATCATCGAAATTAATAATTAGTCCGCGAGTCGAATAAAGAATAATGTTGATTCGATAGAGCGAATGGTTGATAAGATAAAAAAAAAAGGAAAAACTTTCACTTCCGCCGCATCGGTCGAAAGCAGAGAAACCAGAGATATAAAACCGGGGTCTGTGTTCTCGCAGTGTGGCGCGTCGATTAACACGCACGGTCGTAAACCCCGGCCGGCCATGCTCACGCGAATCCATCTTATCCGAAACAAAGACGTTAGAAGACTATTATTGGCTGCGTTTCACCGACTAGAAGCGGTTTTACTTAATTTTATTGCGAGAGGAAGTCGTAAAGACAGCCAGCGTGCAGTTCCGCGCGAATAATCAGTGTTCTGGATCCGCGGGGAACGTTGACTCCCGTGGAACGGTCGTCGCCGATGCACTCACGCGGAAACGAAACACTTGTGCATAATTTTCGGATTTCACGCTGTTACTGAAGCCTTTGCGTTACAGTGCGTTAACCCTTTGAGAATGAATGTCGTTTGATCGACGACATCAAAGTTTCGTAGTTGAAACGCAAGGTTGCAGACGAATGATATTTGTTCAATTAGAAATAATTTATATTTCTATGATTTCTACGATTTCTTGATCATTAATTGTCTCTTACTCTGTCTTACTCTGTGGTAATTAATCTTTAAATTTTTATGATAGCTAATTTCCAAATTTCTACGATTTCTATGACAATTAAATTCCTAAGATTTTTATGACAATCAATTTCTAAATTTCTACGACAATTTATCTCCGTGATTTCCATAGTGATTAATTTTCAAATCTCTATGGTAACCAGTTTTCAAATTTTCATGATTAAAGTAAACGCTTAGATAATATTTCTATGACTGACACACGGTGAAAGAAAGAAAAATAAATTACCGGTAAGAGTCATTGAGAAATAAAATACCTAACCGACACACGGTGTATGAGTAAGGATCAAGAATTGCACGGTTTCCTTCTTTCTCTTTTCCTTTTTTCCAATCTTTCACCATTTTTCCCCTTCACCTTCTCTCTTCCGTTTCCAGCCCTCGACACTGTCCACCTACAGTCAACGCTAAGTCATTCCTGCATGAAAGGCGGTTGCGATTTACTTTCAAAACCACCTACCTGCCTATTGACGGGAATGAGTAACTCTCGCGTTTCACAAGACAACGCCGTCCGCTGTCGCCAAACGCGGCGGATACGCGTCGGGGTCCGAGATCAGATGTTGACGAACTCCGGCGATCACCGATGAACTTGTTAGCAGATCCTTATGAACGTTGGAACTCCGTAGAACTTCTCTATTAGCATCGTTTAACGCACGTGCTTCAATCCTGTGTTTGCAACTTTGGTATCATTAGCAGAACGATTGTAGAATCTTTCAATATCTTTTACACGCGAAGTATCTTTGAAAAGTGTAGCACTTCGTACAAGTATTTTGAGACAAAGGAATGCAAAAGATAGCAAAATGTAGTTTCCAACTGTAGAGTAATCAAAAGAAACATTGGTTCAAATACAACTTTAACAATGAATATCCCTGAAAACACAAAAACTTCAGTGCTTGTAGACAATTACTATCGCAAACCGAATAACAGCTCAAACATTCAAATCCCTATACCAATATCTATTTATTGTTCTAAATCCTAGGATAATAAAACGAAATTTATGGCCATTGGAAAATTCTAAAAATGAGAATTTGCGAAAAGATTCGCAGTCCAACCATCCATCTCGTAACGATCGAACATGAACAGGCATTAACATGTTGATGAAGATTTTAAGCGTTCCGTATAATGTTACTTATTCTCTCATAACAAAAGTAAATCGTGTTTGAACAGATTATTAACGATTTAGTATCGCAACACTTAAGTTACACTGTTATTTATTTACTTGTTTAAATATTTCGATTCGACATCAGTTTTCTTCTTATCAACGCGTTAACGCTCGATCGTTGGCTAGAGAGCTCACCAGCGAATGTTCCGTTCGTACAGGTAATTTATCGCGGAGGTCACGTGACGGGTCGCGGATCTCAGTTGACAAACACCTCGTCGTAATTGAGCACACGGCGAAATTCGAACCTTCTGTTCGCAGAGCGTGGGATTCTTCGTCGGCGCCTGCTGCCTGGACCTCCAGGTGAGCATTACGGCGTCAGCGCTGTACACGCTCGCCACGCAGCTGCTCGGCGGGTATTTGGCGACCGCGGTACCGCCGTGGCTCGCGTGGGCCAAATACGCGAGCATGGTGCACTACGCCTATCAGAACATGCAAATCCTGGAATTCGGCGTCGGCGAGCCGATCACGTAAGTAGACGAAAGAACCGGCGACGCGCGACGCGTCGATTCCAATCTCCTCGCATGCCGATTAGCCAGGAACGGTCTCGTTTGTAGACGAGCTTGGAATATAATCTGATTACGCATTAAGACTCGATTTACGGTGGTCTGTAATTGAATCTGAAGGTGATTGCAGTCAATTCCTCGTTAACTGTGGCTGAGTTTTCGACTTTTCGGTATGAAATGTGATGGCTAGTTTTATTCGTTGCGCAGGCGCGTTTTAAGAATTAGATAGAAACTAACTAATTAACGGGACTAATAAAATGAAGAGTCGATAACTGATAGTATGATGAAATACTCGAGAGAAGTTAACCTCTTGCTTTACGATTTATTTCTCAGCTATGATCGATACAACTGTTTTATTGTTAATAATTGATTAGAAAAGGGAGAAATGTTGATGCTTATTCTATGTATATGTTTACTCCATAACTATTGATAATAGAAAAATAAAATTTAATTTATGTTTGAGAAAAATGAATAACGCTTTATCAAATTTAATTTAAAGTTTACGCCACAAGACTGATACGATATTCTGGTAAAGGTGTTAAAGCTCAATTCAGCGGGAATATTTTAGAAAATACTTAGAAAGCCAATTCCACGTTGCCCACGATTAGAGGTTAATATCGAAGGAATTTGAAATTGAATCGGAAGACGACGCATAGGTCTTAATTTCTTTCGACTTTTCACGATTTTCATTGTATCTTACGATTGTTAGCGTAATGAGTTGTTTTTTTAGACTCTTTGGTACTTGTTGTAACTGATTTTAATATTAGAAGAAACAATAATGATTAATCCGATAAAAAGAAATATACCAGCAATAGTTGCTATGGGTATTTCTGAGCCAGTGTTTCCCAACGTGGGGTCGTCGCCCCATAGGGAGGCAATTTGATCTTTAAGGTGGGCAATTTGAAATTTGAAATGTTACTTCATATATATGTCACAATATTTACGCACGTAAACAAAATAGCAAAAATATTATAGAAATATTATAATATAATATTAAAAATTATATATATGTTACACATAGAAGGGAATAAGAATTTTAGAAAGGCTTAGGTAGGACATGGCACAAGAAAGGTTGGGAAACACTGCTCTAAGCCATCACCGCAATTTCAATTGTAAATCGGTAGTAACGATTACAAAAAGTAGTTCCTAGCCGAAGCAACCATTTGAATGATCATCGGTAATGTGTAATCAGATTCGCTCGTTTAATTGAAATATCACAGGAAAATACGATTCATAATTATGGACCATATTCGAAATCCGTTTTCCCTTCCGTCCCGCATTTTTCTATGACGAACGAGAATTTAAACGCGACTTCGCACATAAACCATGCGGGACACACAGGTCAATCGGGATTCAATTCTCGAAGCCGATCGCGGTAATTGAATGAAAATGGCGGGTGGGAAATCCGCAAGCGTCCTCGACGTATCTACCGCTCGCGTCGCTAATTGCGCGAGAGGAGAACGACCCGTTTAAATACTGGATGAACCTGAACCGCGACGGGCACGATGCATTATTCAATTCCCGGCCTCTCGAAACCGTCCGACCGGAGATCGCGGGATTGACGAACCTCGTCTAATCACCCGCGACGACCGCGCGCTTATCGGGTTAGCCAAGGTTGATGCGTTTAATCGGACAAGCGACCGAGTCGAAAAAGAGGGGCACTTGCATTTTAACACGTTTCATACCACGGGAGATTTCGATTATCTCTTACTTATAAAACGTACGAATTGTATAAATGAATTATAAAATTATATTCGAATTACTGGTGATCTATATATATTTTGATATTGCTTATTTACTAACCGCGGCCACTCACAAAGAACATTTTAGAAAAATCGACGTGTACCGAAAATGGTACACGCGGCACTCAAGGTGTTAGTCAACGGTAACAGAAATAAATAAGTACCCTTAGAAAGATTCATATGTATTTTCGTGAAATCAACGGAAATTGGATGTAATGCGATAACTAATTCAGTGATCGCTTTTACTCAAAACGTCAGTCTTGATCCCTGCACGCGGTGACTGAATTAGAACACTAGGTTTTCCTTGGTTAAGAGGATAATCAGGAATATTAATTACTTAGAAGTTGGCTTCGAGAATCCTGAATTCAGTGATCTTGAATGGAGAAATTCTGTAGTCTGTTGGAGAATTCAATAGAAAATTTACCACGATTTTAGTGTCCATTTCAAGTTTCCAAATTAAATCGGTCGTTAGAATGTATAAGACGGAAGAAATGAACGAAAGATCGTGTAACATTGATCGATTGTCCTTTTCCAAACGACAGATGCTCGCAGCCAAGCAAGTTCCCGGAGTGCAGGAACGCCACCACGATACCAGTGTCGGCCATCTTGGAGAACCAAGGGAGCAGGGGCTCCGGTCTTCCACTCTGGGCGAACACGGCCGTTCTGCTCGCGTTCCTGGTGATATTCCGCACCCTCGGCTACCTGGTCCTCCGCTACTACCGCGTGCCGAAGTGAGCCGGCGTGTCTGGGGAACCATGAAGACTACTCGCCACACCGTTCCACGATCGTTGACGGATCGACGGACGTCGCAGCGACGGTCCCCGCCGCGCCAACGGGAACAACGAATGAAACCGACGGCCATCACCCCTCGTTTCGCGTTGCGGGAAAATAAAAACGTAGCTCGCAGTATCCGAAGAGAACAGACACAGACAGCGAAAGTTTATTTTTACAGGAGAATAGGGTGTTGACTGTACGGGGAGCGTTGCTGATTGCCTCTGAGAAAACGATTCTCGCTTTGAAAGGGTCTTGTAGGTGTAAAATAGAGTACGTTGATCTGAAGCTGACGTAGAGGATTTGGAATGATTTTGTTCCATGATGGTACCTTTAGGTTGTTCGATTGTCTCGGAACATTCTGGAAGGTAGCTCGATTAATATCCATTTAGCAATTTTGATGGATGGTTGCTCTAAGAGCTATAGAAAATGTTGGGAAAAGATGCTATCGAGGATCTACTCTCGCCAGAAACGCGTGTCCATTGGTAATTCAAAATACTTTGAGTCGTTTCCTTGGGAGTAGAAGCTAGAATAGCTACTGAGCCCAGGTAATATTCTCATGAACGAAGCAGGAAGAGAATATTCTTGTTAGAGGATTCAAATAGTCTAATAATAGAGTATGCATCATCCATTGAATGCTGCTTTCGAAATCGAATGTTCTCGAGATCAAAGCCCATCGATTCTTCCGATCCCAGAGAAGGATCCAGCTTCCAGAGGCAGACCAGCAAGTTCGTCGTAGCACTATTTTAATTACCGATTAGCGACTATTTTTCTTAACCGGTCACACACACCGCCAGAAAACAGTGAATACCTCTCGCCAGGCCATGTGATAGACGAAACGAGAAACGACGGGTGAAATGGAGTCAAATTTAGGGGACGAACCGTAGAAGGAATCGGAGGACGACGACGCGCGCGGGATCCTCGCAGCGGAGATGTCCGCGTTTCCGGTGGCGCGGCGGCCGAGACGCGCATATCGTCGAACGGATATACGAAATCGCACGCGTAGAGACTCTTTATATATCACGCTGAACGGAGAGGTTGGACAACTTTGGAGTGAATGGACGCGAGTGAACGGGGAGGCGGAGTGAATGGGTGACGCGCGACTGGTCGACTCAATTTCTTTCTACATTTTGTTTTCGTTTAATTTTCTTGCGGCAAGAAGGGTATAATAGATAGGGAACAGCGGGACAGGACCCGGGGAAACGAGATACGTGAGAGAAGTGTGTTTAAACAGAGAACGAAACCAGTGAGAACGTTACTGGAGAGGAGTGAGGGGGGCTGGCTGCGTTTCTGTTTTCTTTTTTTCTTTTTTTTGGGGGAAGAAAAATCGACGCGGCGTCGGGTCGCCGCATCACCGACTGAAAAATATGAAAAAGAAATCGCGTTTGTATACATAACATATATTACGAAGTACCATTTCTTACATTTGCGAACGGAATATAGAAATGCATATATACACGTATACACGCAAAGGGAGAATGGGTGGGAGAGAATGAGAAAATGTGTGCGAGGGAAGGAGAACACAATACACACACACGTAGAGGACCGATCAATTTTTAGGCTTAGCGGATACAAGGCAAGGGGTTGGACGTCCAACCCACCCCTAACCCTCGTTTTTTAGCGACTATCTAGATGTACACGCGTATACACAGAGAGGGAACGAGACAATACGTACCTACACACACGCGCGCGCGCGAAAATTACACAGAGTACACATTTCTTTTTACTTTTATTACTGCAGAAGAGTTGCTACATTTTAAAGATATTCGCCGTAGATGGTAAGATAAACTGCTACTATTCATTGCTGCTACTACTACTACCACTACTACTACTACTACTATCA